TAATTATATTTTGGTTTTATTTTCTGTCTGGAATTATATACTAATAGGAAAATACTGGATTGACCCAAATATTGGATGTCCTTCTGATGCCATTGAAGTTTTCTGCAACTTCACTGCAGGTGGTCAGACATGTTTAACACCRCTGTCTGTGACAAAGGTATGCATTACTCCTAAAGAAGCTGTGTCTGTGCTTGAACTCTAAACAAATGCATGCTTATTTACTTAACTCATGACAATGTGCTAGATTTGGGGGAGGGGGGGCTGGGTTATTGTGCATCTGTTTGGAAGGACGTGTTATATATTCTGGTACAGAAGTTACAAATTTTCTGGAGCCTATTTATATTGGTAATTCTCACGGTGTTCATTTACTCACCTGTGCTGATAGAATTATTTTATTTTGCTTTATACTTTGTTGTRCAAGGCCTGAAATGCTTTTAAGCTACATTAGTATCTCATCACTCAGGGCACCTAAGTGTAGAGATGCTGAGTTTGTTACAAGGGGAAGGATAAAAATTATTACTGCTTTCCAACACTTAGGTACTTTCAAATGCCATTGATGGAGACTTTTAGTTTTCTCTAATATCATTAGTTCATGCTCCTCTTTACATGTAGTTCTTGAACCCTTGGGAATATAAATTTTATGTTTGTGAAGTTTTGCATATACACTGCAGTCATTGAAGAGCATCAGAAATGCTCTGAAGTTCACATATGCATTCCTACATTTGGAAGATCCCTGAATGTGAAATAATGTTGGAGAAATTGTTGTTGAGTAATGAGTAACTGTATATTCTGTCTAAAATCAAAATATACTTACAAACTTTTGCATTTGTAATGGGGTATCAGTATTGCCAAAACCTGTGGTKTGAGAAGACTAAACAGCAGAATGATGTGGCTTCAGTTAAAACACTGCTGCTGATAATATCTTTGTTTGAATCATAAAAGCATTTGTTTCAGTTTCTTTATTTAAAAATAGTGTATTCCGACCAGCTGTGCTTCAGCAATGTTGGAAGCATTAGCAAATGTTTCTATTTAAGCTTTGAAAACATCCTATGAAAGCTTCTGTTTATAGTAGTCACTGTAATAGAACCTAACATCTCCCCTGAGGAATGCAAATCGTGCTCTTTGGCATTGACCCCAATGTATATAAACATGTATACATGCTGCCATGCCTGAACATCACACTTACATGTTCATGGCACTTGGTGTTGCTGTGACCATTTAGCACAGTCCAGCTGTAATTCTAACAATGCTTTTCTATCGGAATTTAGCTGGAGTTCGGTGTTGGGAAAGTGCAGATGAACTTCCTTCATTTGCTGAGCTCAGAAGCAACCCACAGCATCACAGTCCATTGTCTGAACACACCCATGTGGGGATTAAATAAAGCMGGTGGCCGGAAGACATCGGTTACCTTCAAAGGATGGAACGGTCAAATATTTAAAGCAAATACGCTACTTGAACCTAAAGTGCTTCTGGAYGAATGCATGGTAAATACCCTTTAGTATCAGCATTATCAAAGCAATGATGGAGGTTTAGACATTACTAACTGTTTTCACATTACTAACCTTCTGCTGATAAATAACAATCTAGATTCACATCCTTTAAAGCTTGCTTCTTTACGTAGCTCTGCATATGCCAGCCATTAGATACTGAATTCACCATCTCTTCAAGGGTGACAGCAATTGCAGTGATACAGGGTATCTATACTTGCTGTTCTCATCCTGTCTCATGTATTTTGAGACTGGATGAAGACACTGCAGAGATATCAGCCCAGAAATAGAGATGTCCTCCGGAAAATTAGAAACAGTTACCCTCAAAAATGAAAATTCAGACTTCAGAAATTGCATTTGTTAAATTACACAGTTTCTTTAGGAACTTGTAAGAGAAATGTTTGTGTGTGCTACTTCTCTTTCATGCTGTACACACAATTTTCATTTGTGTTTTGAAGCTCAACTTTTATACTACTCTAATATTTTTTGGTATTTTGCAGATTGCAGATGGCAGCTGGCGTAAAACACAGTTCCTTTTTCACACTCAGGACACAAATCAGCTTCCAGTTGTTCAAGTTAATGCACTTCCTCACCTCAAACCAGGACAGCAGCACTTCATAGAAAGTGGCCCAGTATGCTTCCTTTAAGATTTCTGTCCTAGATTTCTTTTTGCATCGACATGGAGTTAGTGCATAGATTGAATACGAAAGGAATGATCCATTACAGGCAAAATTACAAGGAAGGTGAAGATTCATTTCAAATGTTCTTGGTTAAAGAACTTCAGGAAGAAAAAGACTTCCTCCTAAGGAGAAATGGCATTGAAAAATGAAAGAAAAAAAAAAAAAAAAAAAAAAAAAAAAAAAAAAAAAAAAAAAAAGAAAAGAAAAAAAGAAAGAAAGAAAGAAGGAAAGAAAGAAAGAAAGAAAGAAAAAGAAGACTAAAGCAATTTTCTTAAAGTATTTAAAAATAAATTTATTGGTGCTTTCTTGCATAATTTTTTTGAATGGAGTACCTGAACATGGATTTTTCAGGACCTTGATCAAGTGTTCTTAGCAATCTTTTTATAGCACTGCACAAAAACCATCCTGAGGAAAGCTGGAGACACATGATACTAAGGAGCAATACCTGCTAATGCTCCTAAATGTGCAATAGATTTTATATGAAAAGTGAACCATGCCACAGTACAGTATAATACATCTTCTTTTCTTAAACATTATTTTATTCTAGTCCTCTGTGGACACACATCTGAACAGATGGCACACTACCTCTTTTGTGTTTCCTGTCCGTGTTGCCTTGGTGCTCTTCATAACACAAGGTGCTTGTGGCCTTAACAGAGATTGAGTCCCTTTTTATCTTGCAAACTGTATGTGCTGGTTACATCAGGATATGTTTCTGTTTTAAAGGTACCTATTTTAAACCATTGGTCACATATTTCACATAATGAAAACATTATTTATGTGGATTTCTTGTTTAAAATATTTTTGTGTACTATTTTGGAAATGGTGTATAAGACAGCATATTGTATATGATGCATATAGTCAGAACCGTTTGCTTTACAGCCATTGTAAAAATTGTTGTAGAACTACCTAAAGTAGTCTTGACCTTGAAATTCTGTATTCCAGTTAATGTTGCTAATGCCAAAGCCATCTTAAGATGATATATTCTGTATATATTTTGTAACTTCTGAAAAAAATCTACTACAACATGTCTTCTGAATGGCTGCTGTTAAATTATAATCAGCATTTCATCCTCTTAGAAATTCCATTTTTTTTCAACATTTATTAGATCATTTTGGGTTTTTTAAATTAAGCCTAAAGTGTTCCATGAACTTTTTTAGAGTAAAAATGAACAATTTTACCATTAGGAAATGCCCTCTTTATATTGGTATGCCTCTATCTATTACCAGTTCGAAGTGTGCTCAGGAGTACACGGCAAGGTGATACTGGAACGTATTTGGGAGAGCCCAGGAGTGTTCAAACAGCTTGTCTTGATCTGCAGGAAGCCACACCTACCAAAGTATAATAAAATAAGCTTCCAAGATACCTGTTTGTCTTTTACTATTCTGTTTCATGTTGTATAGGTCATTCTTAAAAATTACAAAAATATTCTAGAAGGGCACTTGTGTTAAATGGCAGTGGTTCTTTTCCCAAGGGGAAATGTATATGCTGTGTGCCATGGAATACTTCTGGAGGAGCAATGTTTGCTTTTACGTAGTAATATACAAACGTATCCCATTTTACATTTTGTATATAAGCATCATTTTTGACCACTTTGAGCAAAAGCTGGTAAAATGAAAGACAAAGCAAGATTACAGAGTGATGAGAAATTGTCTCACTTTTTGCATTTTCAAGATTAATACACTGACATTATGATTTGACATTTGCTCTTAGTTTGATTTTGGAGATGATATTTTAAACGTTTGACAGTATTTTGTAAGATTATCATTTTTTAGAGAAATGTCTACTTCATGTATATTTTATATAATAATTCATCTTATTGCCCTATTTTCGAAATTCTTAATCTCAGAAATCATCTATTTTAAAAAACAAGGAGTCTTAAAAGGCTGCTCGGATGTATGTGCATTTAYGTAGGTGAGACAAAAATGTACATCCCACGCAGAGAGCGGGGACGAGGGGCTGGTGCAGTCTGGGGCCTGSACAGGTAAGGAGCGATGTCCCTTGTCACCTGGACAGGGAGCGCCAGCGCTGTGTGCGGGTGTGCGGCACAGTGCGCGTCATGGGGAGCCCCTCTGCCCTCTGCGCTGCGGGGAACCTCCTCTGTGCTGTGGGGAGCTCCTTCTGTGCTTTGGGGAGTCCCTCTGTGCTGTAGGGAGCCTCATCAGCGCTGTGGGGAGCTCCCTCTGTGCTGTGGGGAGCCTCCTCTGGGCTGCGGGGAGTCTCTCTGTGCCCTGGGGAGCCCCTCTGCACTGTGGGGAGCCCCTCTAGGCTTTGGGGAACCTCCTCTGGGCTTTGGGGAGCCCCCTCTGTGCTTTGGGGACTCCCTCTGTTATTTTGGGGAGCCTCCTCTGTGCTGCGGGGAGCCCCTCTGTGCTTTGGGGCGCCCCTCTGTGCTGTGGGGAGCCCCTCTGTGCTTTGGGGCGCCCCTCTGTGCTGTGGGGAGCCCCTCTGTGCTTTGGGGCGCCCCTCTGTGCTTTGGGGAGCCCCTCTGTGCTTTGGGGAGCTCCTTCTGTGCTTTGGGGAGCTCCTCTGTGCTTTGGGGAGCCCCTCTGTGCTTTGGGGCGCCCCTCTGTGCTTTGGGGAGCTCCTTCTGTGCTTTGGGGAGCCCCTCTGTGCTGTGGGGAGCCCCTCTGTGCTTTGGGGAGCCCCTCTGTGCTTTGGGGCGCCCCTCTGTGCTGTGGGGAGCCCCTCTGTGCTTTGGGGCGCCTCCCCGGCCGGCCCCGCGGCCTCGCAGCTCCCGGGAGCGGCGGCTCCGGGACGCCTGGTGCGGCTGTGCTGGTGCTCGCTGCCGCCAGGCGGCGCTGCCGCGCGGGAGAGGCCGTGCGTGCCCCGCGCCGGCCCGTGAGGCCCCGCGGCGCGGCCATGGCGGAGCGGGACGGGCGCGGCGGTGACGGGCGGGCGGCGGGCGGAGGGAAGATGTCCCTGCACAGGTACGGCGCGGCCCTGGGAGCGGCTGCACGGGTTCGGGAGGACAGCGGTACCCGCCCCGGTGCTCGGCCRGCGGCACTGTGCCCTGCAGCCCCCGGCTGCTCTCCCGCGGGTGMGGCCCGGCCGAGCGAGGCACCGCGCAGGAGGCGCCGGCAGAGCCTCGCTGGAGCGGGGTCGGGCAGCGGGAAGTGCGGAGATCCTGCAGAGCCGGGAGAGGGAATCCCCCTTGAGTAACTGCCCGTTTCTGTTGTGCAGGGTTTGAAACGCCTTTTCCGGTTCTTAGAATGGTTTTGTGCTGTTAATACTCAGAGCTCGTGAGGAGATGGTATTGCTGAGCTTGTCTTTCACGCCGTCGCTGCCAGCAAAGAACGAGCACGTGGTGGGGAGAGGAAGAGGGATGTGTTCGGGCTGACATCCCCTAGTAGCTGAAATGGTGGCGTAGTACTGTTCTTGAAAAGTTTACTGATGTGGGGGAAATGTTACTTCTCTTTTCCATTTGTAAGATTTTAAAAGGAATGGTGATTATTTCAATTGACATATCATGAGCTGTTTCCTAAGTGTGAGAGAAGCATCTGCTTTAATAGCCTGGTTAAAAACATATGTAGAGGAATTTAATTTTTCACTGGTATTTATTATTTGTATTGATAAGGCTTCCACATTGTTACTGAAAGATGCCCTGACTTTGGAGTTTGCACTGCTGACAGCCAGAAGTTGTTTGGCTGACTSTGTTGTCCTTTTTTTCCAGTGAAAAAAATGGGATTATTCAGGCTTTAGGTGAATCCTTGAGATTTATTTWCCATCTGCCTAAAACTGGCAGTATTATAAGTCAGCATGGTACRGTGCACATTATATGTGATGCAAAAGGAGAAAAGCACTGATACAACTAGGCCACAAAKCATAAGCTGATAAAGGCTTGCTGTGCTTCCAACTTTGTAGTTAGCATGTAGGGGTTTTTTTTCTTTCAGGCATCTTCTGTGCTTTAATATGTGTGTGTTTGGAGATACTCGCCATAGCTTGTGTTGTTTGCCACCTTTCTTAATCCAGGGTATTTGTATTTTCCTTTTCACCTTTTCAAGGTGCATATAGCTTTTCCTGAAAATGCTGATTGATGGCCTAATGCCAGGTTGTTGAGCAGACACTTTCATAGGCCAGTTAAGTGCAAAAATGCTGCCTTTATTGAAAAGTGTTTTTTACTTCTTTCAGGTGTGAAACGTGTAGCAAAGAAGAAGCTAAGTACAGATGTCCACGATGCATGAAATATTCGTGCAGGTATCTATTATGTAAACTTTGTAGTTCKGGTTATTTTCCCATTCATATGCTGAACATGCTAATGTTTTCCTTTGTGTCATTTCAGCCTGTTGTGTGTAAAGAAACATAAGCTTGCACTGAGCTGTAATGGAGTCAGGGATAAAACAGCGTTTGTCKCTGTAAATGAGTTTACTGACTTGAACCTTTTGAGTGGTAAGAACATACCTTGTGTGTTTTGAAACTCAGGTTTTACTAGGTTGGCACTACATTTTTCTTTGTTCTTTTTAACCTTCAGATTATCGTTTCCTGGAAGATGTAGGAAGGACAGCTGATGCTGCTGCTCGACACTGTATTGTGCACAATCCAGCAACAAAAAGACTCGTAAGTTTTTGGTTATCCTCTTKCTCTGTTGGAATTAAGGTAGGCTACCTTTGAATTCCCACTGAGGCAGTCCCAGTCCAGATTCCAGAGCTGGTACCTCTCTTACGGATGTATGATTGACCCTGAAATTTAGAGCCAGAAATCAAAAGAAGTCTCTAGTTTATGCAAKAACAGTGTTGATGGCTACCTCCAGTTGTTTAGAAGAATAGGTTGTTAACAATATGCATTCTTAAAATTTATGCATGACCTCTGTTGCTGTTGGATRATAGATGTGTGTTAAGAAAGTCTGAATGTTTCCTTCCACCTTCACAACTTTTTTKAATTTTTAAGTACACACTTCCCAGGTAAACAGGATTTATTAATTGCCTAAAAATTGTTACATGCTTCCCTATATGCCAGATGAAGRCAGCTAGAACTCTTCGAAGAATAAGTGTTAGCAACACTGACATAAAAAACAGTCTTCTAACAGAGAGGGTTTTTTTGCTGAAGCTCTTTCAGCAACCAAACACACTCCCCGAACTAAAAACAATAAACAAATCAACACAACCCAAAAAAGCCCAACCCAGTCTACTCCAAAATATTTTGACTCATTGATAAGTCACAAAAAGGGATCAGGGCCGTTTTGTTTTCCGATCATGGGGACATATCTTGAAATAAAGCACTAAACTCTGAACTCAAATTGGTGACAATAAATTCAGAAGACTCCAGCTTCCTTTGTGGCTGGAGTGATACTCTCTGTGTGTGTATTTAGCACCATGATGTGCTGAAAATGTGTGCTTAAAATGGTGAGAYGCTGCACAGGTAGCAGTTTTAGGGATGTGGTACTGGGCATCTAAATGGGATGGTGCCCTTAGTGGTACCTTCAAATAGAATTTGTCAGTGGCTGAGAGGGTGCTTGTGCATCTGTTCTGTTAGCAAGGTTGTAACCCTAAAAGCATCTTCTTGGTGGTATTGCACCCACAGTGGTCACACTGTGACTTTCTTGGTGTGTCAAAGAGCTTTTACTCTGAGGAGGTCATTGGCATGTTCTTTTTTAATAATAAAATAAACTTACAAGAATATTTCAGAGAGTTTCTAGGTTTGCTTCATTTTTTTTTTATTCAGGATGATTTTTTAAAATTTCAGGATAGTTCATTAACTATGGCCTTTTCTACAATTTTCTCATAATTCCTGTCAGCTTTTTATTGCTTAATTTTCAGGGGTTTAATATATTCAGAGGTTTTTTTWAAATGTTTGTATTTTTTCCAGTTGTACTGCTTGAGGAACAAAGCTCGAGGGTGTAATATTGAGCTAAAAACACTGCCCGTTGGATTTACAAAAAGAAGAGAAAATTCCACCACCTTCAATTCCATGTGAGTCTTCAGTAGGTTACAGTCAGCATAATTTTATTTTCACTGAGCATATAATGATGAGAATTTGAGTTCATACTAATATGCTTGCTTTAAAATCTGTTAGGTGCACCTGKTTTTTTTGCAAAAGCTATTTAAAATTTAATTCCTCTGGTTTTCTTTTTTTTTAGGTTCTTTGAGCTCAGTTTTACAGCTTACATAATTTATGTTTTGTTTTGAAAAATGCTCTCACTGAGTAGCAGTAGGAAGAATCAGAAGTGCTGTTTTGTTTTTTTTCTTTTAATTAGCACTTAGGTATTTTGCTGGAAAAAGAAAATGGTTTTTTAGAGGTTTATGATAGAGGATTGATGTAGAAGGCTTGCACAAATCCCTGTCTTTGAAAAGGCTGAGTTCAAATCTGAAGAGGTGCTTCAGTACCTGTGTTGCATTCTGTGATGGGAGTCRTGCTGGAGAATGTAAATATTTGATACAGCACAGCTTAGAGACAAGTGCAGACAGACAGATACAAATCCAAGAAGGCGGCTAAGGAAAACTTTAAAAATCTTTCCCTTTATCCACTCTGTTTTTTCTCTGATATCCAGAGTTTGTATTTTAAGGTATTTTCACAGTAAAAATAAAAAAAATTACAGAGTAGTTAGTTGTGACAGAAATCAGGCCTACAGTTTAGCTCAGTTATATATTGGGGGAAAATATAAATAAATGCCTTCTGAACTTATCACAGCAATGATATCCCTGATGGATCTGATCCCCCTGATGGCTCCTTCACTTGTTTAGTTCAYGGTCTCAGTTTTGGTGACAAATTGTGTTTACAGAATGCATTTTCCCTCCATTCTGCTAGCTGTGCAGTGTCARTCTCTGGCTGGCCACCAGAGGTCTGTCTCTGACAAAGAAATAACCCACCTGGAAACTGCTCAACACACCCACCTGGATCATTTCGGCAAGTCTGGGGAAAAGCATAGGGCTTTGGTTCTGCTCATGTAGTAGTTTTTAGCAGAATCTTAGTCAAATAGATGTAGAAATGTAACTGTTTAAAGTTAGGTATTTTACCTATTTTCTGCTAGAGAAAACTCAGTGTGAACCAATGAGAAGAAAGGAAATCTGAGGTATTTTCTCCTCCCTCTGCCCCAGATTTATAGGTCACTGAGCCTCCCTGCTTGGAACAGATCTGGTGGTAGTTCCAGGCCTTTCAGAAGTCTCTCTGCATTGATTATCCTTTCTTTGGCTGCATGATTCTTTTACAGATCCCTTTTACTAGTCTCATGATGTTGAAGTATCTCAGGCTTAGAGCTGAGTTTCCCTTCTGTGGAGAATTTCCTCAATGTTATGGATAAAATAGTATAAACACACTTAACAAATGCAGGGGAAGGAGTAGCCTTCAAGAACAAGTGCAGGAAGGCCAGGAATACTTGTGTTAGTAGCTAAGAGGACAGAAGAATAGAAAGGGCACAGATACAGGGAGATTGGACACTGTTGGGAAGATCTTGGGTGTGGTACAGTGCTGTGATGACAGTTGTTTGYCTTCATGAACCATGTTCTTTTTCCTCTAGAAAGCCTTTTGGGTACACACTGAAACGTGGCTTACGTTGGGGACAAATTAAACTTTGAGCAGATTGTACTTTCATGTGTGTTGTGTACTTTGTGTTGTTTTAACAAGAGCAGATTTAAAAGCTTAAGAGAATGGGACAAGGAATGTGACTTCTTGGTAAATAAGCATGGAAATATTTCACAGGCTGTCTGGGAGAATGCCTTACTGGTTGTTGTCCTTCATAAAGTTGTGGGGAACTTTTGTTGTTGCTGTGGAATGGTAGCTTTTCTGGGACTTTTAACATCCCACCAGAAAGTGTTTGATAATGTTCTCTGTTCTGAAGAGGATAGGAAATAACTGTCTTTTTCCTGCAAATGCTGTCCAAGGGTATGGAATATGCTCAGTCATTATTACATAAAGGATGTATTTCCTCTCTATTTCTGCTACTGTTACTTACACAGCAATGGGCTGTTTGAATTCAGTGATGCAAATTAAAAATTAACATATTTTGGTTTTTGGGGGTTCTTTTTGGGTTTTTTGATTGTTGGGTTTGTTTTTTGGGTTGTTCTGCTTACTCTCTTTAAATGGATTGTAAGGAATCGAACCAGTGAATATCAGGCATTTAGGACCTGTCTCATGGAACTTCATGATACGCATAACATTTTGTTGAATATCGCATTGAAATGGGGTAAAGTTGTGCAAATAGTCACATGTCCTTATATGAGYTTAGCTTACAGTGTTTCCCTCTCCTGTAGATGTGAGCTCTTTCTCGTGCTGTTTGTCAGTTGAGATTTGTAGGCAGATTGCTCCAGAGGGTGGAGGCTGGAAGCTGCTCAACATCTGTGTGGAAAACTGAGAACAGGCTTCTCCCATGTCCTCTTCACACTCCCCCTGCGAGCCAAGCTGTTGGGCAGTAAAAGGCAGCAATGAGAGTAGTCCAAAACTAGGAAGTACAAGATGTATTCTTGTGTCATCCCCTGCCCGTGCCAGTGCTGCAGGATAAATCAGTGTTGTTTCGATGTGTTAACCAGTTTCTTCATTTCCTGGATTCCATTACTTTGTTTGCTAAATCTGGTGTTGTGAAAGCATACGTGCTAATGCTGGGCAACACATTAGACTGATGTGTAATATTGAGTGTCTAGGTAATGGAGGGTCATTAGAAAGTACAGTTTGAGTCCAGGGTGTGAAATCATGGTACATCTGACTTACTATTCATAAATTATTTTTAATGTGCTGCTTCACACTACATTTCTTGTGGTGCCTTTATTTTCAGTACACTGWGAGTTCACCACTGAATGCATTCTGCCATGGAGTTGGTGGGGTGAATTGCTGGGATAGGAAGCCTCTGGGAAAGGGGTCAAACCAAAGGTGAGAGCATCAACTGGGGAGCTCCAGCCAGGAGGTCAAACAGGAAGAGGGGAATGAGTTTGCAGCTCTGTGGCTCCTGGTACCCTGGCAGGAGATGATGTGGTGAGATACTGAAATGGAGCATTGCAGTTCCCTGTGCTCTGCAGCTTGTGCTGCCCTGCCCCAGCCTTCCCTGCTGCTTGTCCTGCCATGGGCATCTCCAACCAGCTTCCTTCCCGCTTCATTCACAGCATCTCCCAGACAAAATCCTTTTTACCTCCCCTSTCCACAATGAGGGGCCAGAGGGCTRCAAATCTSCCTTGTAGSAGGCATCCCTGCAGCCTGAGAGCATCTGCTCAGGGGTGTAGGTGGGAGAAGGAGGAAGCTTTTACATTATCTCTCCCCTTTAATTTAGTTGTGAGAAAAAAGTACAGTGGCGAGATTTCGGATTAGCATCACTTAAGAGTTTATTAGTGTTAGACTTTGAGGTACACCTGAAAGTTCTAAAATGTCAACTCTAATCCTTTGCTAGGTAGAGATAATTAAAATTATTGTTTGAAGTGTTGATGATTTTGAGAATTAAGCAGGAAGTTTCCTGAGCTGGGTTTTGATTAATATTGCACCACTGGAACTGTTAAACTTGAATGTAATTGTTACTTAGTACATAGTTTTGCTTGCTTTCTTGGACCCACCAAGAAGAAAGTTATGTTACTAAAGGATGTTGAGGAAGGCAGTATTATCAAAAATTGTATGTACTGAATGCCCAGTACTTCAGTTAAACTTCAGTGAGAGATTCTGTGAGAGCATTGGATATTGTCAGATGAAAGGATAACTGGTCTGTCATTAAACTTCATGTCCTTTTAGTSTCTTTTATGAATTCAAAATGACACAGACAGGAAATGCTACAGTATTTGCATTTTGATGAAAGATATCCTGTATACTAATATAYTAGTTGCTAAATTGAAACAAAGTCATCAGTGAATCACTATCTTTGACAGGCTGTCAGCAAAATATTTCTGCAGAGATAAAATTGCAGATGGGAATTTTTGTCAATAAATATTTTAGTTTGCATACATATGTACGCACACATTTAAAAACACCTTCTAAGCATGTTTAAAACAGTTCTACTGCATTCTAAACAAAACTGAGAGGAAATGTTTAGAAGAAACCTAGATAAGAAAGGTAGGGAAGTTAAACTTTACAAGATATTTAATACATTTTTGAAGATTTGCATAAACATTAGACACTTCTACAAATTTGCCAAGGCACTTAACATGTATGTCCAAGTCCAGAATCCTTTGTAGATTGGCCTTTAATTCCCAGCAGCTGTACTGCCTACAGTCACAGGTTTTTGATCATCTTCCTAGGTACTGCAGTAACTATAAAGGCAGTGAGAATTTTTGCAGTTGTTCTGAGAGGCAGCTGGAGGAGACAGCCAATTGGTATATACTGCTCCTGTCTTTGTAATATCAGAAATAAAAATGTTGCCATTGTTGCTCTAAAAATTGTTAAATCATTTACATGTAGTTCTGGGAAAACTACAATTGACAGAAAGTAAGTTTTTGGAAATTTTAAGGGGAAATAAAAGGTAAATAGATAGTTTTCATAGAAAACAGTAGCTGCGAAACAGTCTGTGCAGTTCTGAACATATTTTGCTTCTACATCTCATGCAGGGAGAGAGAGATGCTTGGCTACTCTTTTTCCCTCTGATCTATTTCCATGCTTCTGAAGTAGCCAGAATAGGATATGAAGCCAAACGATGCAGGGATGAGCTATGATGCTGCTTTTACTGACATCTGTGATGTGCCTGTGCCTCATCTAGCTCTCTGCTGTTTGATTGTTTTATAGTCAGTGCCCTGGTATCCGAAAAACCAGGGCACTGTTGGAGGAGCATTCTGTGGCAGCAGAGTAGCATGGAATGCTTTATGGAGTGAGCTGTTACTCAGATGCAGATGACTTGCTCAATTAGGCRTATTCGTTTAGAAAATGAACATAGTATATGTCTGTTGTATGTGAAGGAAATGCTACCCCAGTGAGCCATCATGGAAAATGAAGTCAGTGAGATCTGGAGCCAGGATATCTAACTTTAATCAGAACTTGTTGTGAAGCAGCTTTGATAGCATCAACTTTGACATCAAGTTTTCTGGGCACAGATCAGTGATGGTGAGGGATATTTCACTTCAAGAACAGGCACCTAGCAGGTTGTTTTTAAAGACTTCATTGGACAATGAAGAGTATGAGGCTATTCCTGTTCCAAGCTTCCTTTTTTCTTGCCTGCTTCTATCCTGTTCTTAATCTGTCTTGCCTCTTTCTGCTTGCCATTTACTTCCAGGTAAGAGTACTTCAAAGAGAGATTAAGTCATTAACTGCAGTTTTGGTATTAGTTTGCTGAGRAAAAAAATCAACATTTCTACTTTTTCAAAGTGGAGCTTTTTTAGTAGAAATGAGCATTTTAACTTTAGCTTCCCTGATTCACAGCACCTTCTGTGCACTGTTCCATAGACTAAATTGTGCCTGGAAGTGGGAGGGAGGATGGAAGTCTGAGAAGAACCCTCTTAAGCTGATTTTACAGCTGCAGTGATGAACTGAGTCTGCCTCAGTGAGCCCACAGGGAACCAATCTTGCATGTGAAATGAGGATGTGCTGTGTGAGAACCATTTGTACAGACAAATGAAGAGTCTTCCTAACAACAGGTAGCAGATAGCTRGAAGTGTTTTTCTGCAGCATTTCTTTTTCAAGTGTTTGTGTTCGAGACAGCCCTCTGGGCTACATATATGTCTCTGTGAGCTGTGTCATGGTTTGTCTGTCTCATTGCTTTGGCTGTCTTGATTTAAAGATTGAAGTGTCACAGGAAGGATTGGTCACTTAGAATAGATAAACATGGCCTGTTTGAAAACAGTTGTGGAAGATGGTGAGTTAAACGAAAAAATGCTAGCAAGCAAATAAAGTCCCTCAACTGAACAATTCTTACACATTTTAATAAATTAAAATGTGTAAGAATGTGCCTATTTCTCTGTCTAAAGCTTACTAACTTTTACTCAAGTCTCCTTGGGAAAGTGCTTTGAAATAATACCATTCGGTATTATTGACGTGTCTGAGAGGAGTCACAGACTTATTAATCGCAAGGGAACGGAACTGGTTACATAACCCTATTTATATTCCAGTTTGCTCTGTGTGTATGGTAGCATTGGTGCTTCTTTCACCTCTCAAGATGAAAATTGCAAAACCTTGTTTCACTTGCCGCGCAAAAAACTTGCAAAATTCCAGTCACTGATTCTGAGTTATTTCRAAACATTTTGCAGTTTGGTAACTTAAGGCTATCATACCAATATGCAAAATAAAATTCATGCAGGCAAATACTATGTCAGCTTCTGGTTATTTGTTTATGATACATGATTAATACTGTTTTCTGCATTATCCTACAGCCCTGGTTGTACAGTCTTCTTACCTCTTTCAGACCTGATGTTCTCTAATTGCACCTTTTCATTCAAGGAAGGCATTCTCATTCTCAACTTTAATAAACATGGGCAGAGAGAAGGGAGGAATCACAAGGCATGCTGCACAACTCTGCTGAGGCACACACATTGCTTTGGGGGCCCTGGGTTTCATTAATTGCTTTTATTCTAATTGTTACCTTCTTGGAACTGGGGGTTCCTGTTTGCTGTTTTTTTGGTAAATACTAATGCATCTGATTTTACTTATAATCCAGAAAGTACAATTCAGCAGTAAAGCTCAGTTTTCTTCTAGGAACAACTAGATAAKGGAATTATTTGTTTGATAAGCTCATTTTATAAAAGGTACTTGCATTTAAAACTCARTATCACAGTTAATTGATCTTAGCAGCTAAGTTTACTATTTTGCTGGTGGATGCACATACACTCATCTCTGCAGCCAGCTAGAACCTGCTGGATAATGTGTTATCTGCCTGATAAACAAATTAAACATGTTGGAACAACATCGTGTTTACTTTTTATTGTAGACCAGAATCTTTGCATAACTGAGGGTGGTTATCATGGATACAATGATTCATTGGTCTTAAATAATGTTTWAAAAAGCAGTTTAAAAAAGAGGTACCATTAGATGTCCCTGTGCTTCCCATAGGTGTTTGACCTCTGATTTCAGAATCTTTGCTGTTTGTCGTGAGTGTGAATTTCTGAACCAGAGAAAAAGGCTAAGAACCTGCCTTGTGTTTTCTCTTAGATTGTGCTTTCTTTTAGGGRATTCTTGTAGAAAGGTTTCTGGAGATTTTCTGCAAATGAGCAAAAAGGCAMATAGAGACTGCCTGATCTAGCAAAGTGTTCTCTCGGTAATACTGTCTTTCGTAAGATGATACTGCTCTCAAACTATGCTTCCATAGCTTCTGTTCTCAGGTATGAATTWTGCTAGCTGGAAAGGGAAGGTGGTCTCAAAAATAGGAACTAACATACCAAAGAAAGGAATGTGACATTACTGTCTGTTTCTCCCAAAAGTTTTACGATCTTTCTGTAAAACGTTTGTTCTAACTTCTCTTATCCATGTTATGCCAGAAGGCAACTTCCTTCCCTGGCCATGACACTCATTTTCTATTGAGGCCATCACTGCTGTGAAAAGTTGAGTCCTCTGTTTTCTATAGGACCTGATGTCAGTTGAGGCTCTGGCTATTACTGTTTCAGAGGTTTGGTAATCTGATGGCACAATCCTGGGTGATATGTCAAAAAGTAGTTTCCTTTTCTGAAGTTAGAGGACAGTTGGATTGAACTCCCTTTTATAATGTAAAATACTGTTGATCAGTGAATTGGTGATATCTTACCTATATTTAGTAGGAACAGATTTTCATTCCATTAAAATTGAGCAGGATGTGGGAGCATTATGTTTTTCAAAGGACATCTCAGCTTCTCTACATGCCCCTTTTACTCTTCGAAGTCATTCAGAATCTGAAGTATGTATTTTCTTCTGCCACAATGCTATAGACTACCAAGCTTTGTAGAAAAAATAAATAGTAGTTGTTACTAACACTAAAAATATGCCTTTCTTTTTCTTTTCAGGGAGAACAAATTTTACTGGCATTTGAAGCTCATATTTCCTCACTGTCATGCTGAATACACTTTAAAAGGGTACAGAACTTTAAAAAAGATTTTTCTAAAGTTTAAATTATTAATCTGCTGAAGTGGAACTGCAAAATATTTTGGTCGTTTCTTATCTAGATTTGTTATACAAGGTAAACTCAGGTATTAATTTTAGTCTTAATTAAAAGGACATTTAAATTTAAAAAATACTAAAGTTGTGTAGTCCTTTGCTCTTTGAAAGCAGGCAGACTTTCCAAATCAGGCAAAATGTTCAGTTCTTATTCCTTTTCTCTATGTAAATAGAGAACTTGTATATTCATAATAGTAATACCCCTACACCTAACATATTCCAATCTCAAGGAACAGATGTTCAGCAAGATTTCCCATCCCTCCTCACCTACATATTGAAGCTGACCTTCATACAGGGTGAAATGGTTGCATTGTTTGTTTTGTAGGAAAGTCCACAAACACATATTCAAAAGGCGAAAAAATGGGCTTTTGTTGACAAATCTTCCTTTTTTTCCTAGCCTGAAGGGAGGTGAGAAGTATGCCCTTGTCTGCTTCTGGGGTTGCAGGAACAGCATGTTTCTTTTGCAGGATTAAAAACAAGAGATATGCATCTGTTTACTCCTCATGTGTGCCTGTGAAGTCTCAGTGCTGAAATTGAGATAAAGCTGCCCGTATCTATGCAGTATTGATACACATTCATGATCCTCCCATAAACTACTCAGCTGTGCCACTGTAACATGCTAATACACAGCTTCCTCCAAGTGACTCATAATAGATACTTGTGTTCGTGATGAATGATGTCTCACATGCTTGATTTTTATCTTTGGTGAAAGGGTGCCTGATGATAAAATACTTGCTGATATCCTCAAGCCATACATTGATCCAGTGGAGTCAGATCCTGTAGTTTGTCAAAGGTGTGTATTGAATAACTTTTCTGCCTACTTGATCTAGTGCCCTAATAAAAGAAGGGAATGGTTCTGAGTAAATGGCTTAAATTAGCTGCACTTTCAGTTGGCAGAGCTGAGTTCCCAGTCAGGAGTAGATCTTTAATTCCTGTGAAAACCATCTTAACATTCACCAACCAACCCTGGGATATAGCCACTACRTTTAAACAGGAAAAGATAAGAGATTGACTCGTGACATAAAAACCAAATAAAGCAACTGTAATTCTGAAAAACATAATCATAATTAACGTCAGTGGGAGTGATATTACACCTTTTCTTCAGAATTATTAGAAAAACATACTAATAATTATAAGCCTAATTTAYAGGAAACACTTAATATGTGACAAAGGAAAGTTTCCTTATCTTCCAGGAAAAAGATACATTAATTTGGCTGTTGACATGCATAAGATATCCATCTCTTATGGAAGAAAAGTTATTGTACATCATTTCTACATCTTTGCTCCTTTTTTTTTTCCAGATTAAAAATCTACACAACATCTCCTCAGTCAGATGTACGAATTTTAATGAAAATAGAAAACAGGAACCGAAATTCTGTCAGGTAAGGTGGTTCTTTAGCATGTGTGCTTACTGTACTTACTAACTAAAAATAACAAAAAGATACAACATGTTTCTTATTCTTTAATATTTATTACAACTGGAGACTACACAATCTCATGGATTAAACTTCAGTGAGTAAATACGAGTGGTCTTTAAAATGATTCAGAAACAATGCTAATTCTGTGTCTTTTAATACATCAACACTGAAATTTMAGTGCAATTGTTGAGTGAGTGAGCTGCTTCAGGAGCAGTCCATGCCAATGTAACAGAACATATGTTTATGTTAAAATTCTAAATAACTCTATTAACCCCAGAAATTTAGACATCSGTTCCCTTCCAGAAGTTCCTCTGTAGATATGTCAGCCTTCCCAAGGGAGTTGAAGTGATAGTTCATAAAGTTACCACTTTTAATCACTGCAGCAAAATGTATGTGTTTTTCAGAATCTGGTCACTGCATTTGAAATAACACATTTTTCTCAAAGTTACTTGCTCACCATTCTTCATGTTACCATATTTCTGGGTGTGGGCTTTTGTGTCTTCAGAATTCAAACTTGTGCAGAATTGTTTTCTTTGTTTCCAGAACAGAGAGTAATCTTGAACTTCAAAATTAAACTTTAAAAAAATATTTTTTGCTAGTATAAATACCATTCTGAACACTCCACCCTGTTGTCATTGTTACTGAAAAGGATATGTATCAGCTTAGTATCATAATTTACTGTGGTTCACCAGTGATTCCTAGTTAGGCATCTGAAAGTACTTTCTTGTCTTCAGCTGCAACAAATGTAAATAATATGCTTCCCTGAAATACAATACATTATTTCTAAGGGGGGAATAAAAGTATATTAAAAGAATTTAGCTGTAACTTAGCGTACTGATAAAGTTCCTCCTCTGAAAGGAAAGAACAAGGTTTGTTTGAGAGGATGGGGCTGCTATGTCAGCATGAAATCCCTTCTGTCGACGCAAGCTGTGTCTGTGCCAGCAGGCACTCGCAGTGCGGTTGTTGTGACAAAGGATCTGTGAGGGAATTCAGGTTTTTCTTGTAGCTGCATTACAGTTAAGTAATAGAGAATTTGTTTTGATTTCTTCTGGTTTTGGTTCCTTGCCCCTGAGTTAATTGGAGAGTAATGGCCCTTACTCTRTGAACCAATACCTGGAATCGCAGTGAAAGTTGAACAAAAGCAGAGTTGAGATGGATCTCCCTCACCTTTATCTATGTTTCTTTAACATAGATAAAGCATTTACATAGTGGGAAGCATTTRCTGCTGGTTTGTGTAGCCTTGAGTGCCACTGTCAGCTCAGTGTAATTTCTCACCCTGTGCCTCCTTGTTCTGTGTGGATTTAGGCTGTATGTTCCCGTATGGCAAAATTCTTCTGCACTTTGTTGGGGAGACTGAAGGAGTAGGATTGGTGTAGGCTRCTCATACATAGAATAAATCTACCTGAGTGTTGTCTAATCTACAGCTTGTGTGCCCACCAGAAAAATTTCTCCTACACAACACTAGATACTAGAAAAGTTGTAAACATACCTTACTATKTCAGATGTTGACAGAGCACAGCAGACCCTTTTGGAAAAAAAAAACCTCTTCGTACTTACAATTGTGTATTATTGAGGAAGTGCAGCGGTGTTTCAGAGAGTATCTAACCAGGATTATTATGGGTTATAAAATGTTAGTCTTCTGGTTTTAAGATAAGTATATTACAGAAGGATTTTAGTATTTCCTGCAATTGTTTATGAAACARGAGTTTRTGGTTTAGTTTCGGCTCTTTTCTGTGTTTCGAAGCAAGTCAGCCTTTTTGTTTGAAGGTCCTCTGTAGAATGCTTAAATTTTTGGGGGTTCATTTTTTTCTTTCTCCAGAATTGTAAATTAGCCATGAAGTACCTATTTCCACTTTCTCACAGGAGTTCTGCGGAACTTCAGAAACTCACTGGTGTGCAGATAYCATGGATAACTGCCAAACRTGGTTCTTGCTTTCTAYTTGCTATGTRTCTTTGATCATCAGKGGTGAAAATTCTTAGAGAAYTTTGTGATAAGTTCTTATATCTGTCTTCTCTAAAACCAGATTGTAAGACGCACTTTCAGTGTGAATTGGTAGCACTCCACAGTTAATTGGGGTAACCCAAAGCATAATTTCTTCTCATGTTTTCTCATGCTACCTGTTATCTCATGCTCTATAGTTTGTTACAACTGATAGTCTTCTCATTAGTTGCACTTACTTTATGAGGAATCTTATGAAAGAGTATTTCAAAAAAACGGTGTTACGTAACTCTCTTCTTCATATAAAACCTTTGGAAAAAATCTGTGTTTGAATGGGTCAGAATAGTTTTCTGTTTGGTTCTGTTTGCTTCCATCACCTGTTATGCAATATTTATTTAGTGGTTGGTGTTCATTCTCTCCTCAGCTGTAACTGTTCCAAGAAAGGTTTAACTTCTGCTTCTTGGATGATTTTCACAAGTCTGCATTCTTTTATAAAGTGGTATTTTCTTCCTTCAGGATAAATTAGTGTCTTGACTATCTTCACAGCTTTATTTGGGATGCCTTCAAAGTGACTTCATATGGTAAGAGTATTGCTTTTTCCAGGAAAGGAAAGGTGCAATGGCCAAATTACACAGTGTGGTTTGGGAAATACACCTTCTCATTTTCCCGAGAATAACCTTATCAGGCTTTGTGTAACCAAAAATACTAACTGAAGCRCAACCAGCCCTTCCCATAAAGAATTCCTTAATCAAAAGATCCTTRGTATTTTTTATTAGTAAGTTAATAGTCGATAGTTAGCTTGTTTTGTAGCTACAGATGCTTAATGAGAAATTTAGCCTTATCGTAGAAGATGATCCTATTTCTAGAAGAGAAATAACTGCAGCTTAATTTGCAGTAGTTACTTTCAGAGACAATTACATAAATCTAAATGAGGTAAAACCACACAACTATCTCTTTTACTGGGTTCAGTAACATCTTGCGTGAATCTAGAYAGTTGACACTTTAATCACATGCATTTAGTTTAATAGAATTACAAAATCATGTTTTCTTAAACMTTGATGTTGGGTCTTTTGTATAGTAATGTTCTTTTTTGGGGTCCTCAGAATAACATATGAGTGTTGTTTCAGAATAAGTTCTTCTGGAAAACTTTTKGGGGATTTGAAGTGAGGAGTAGGTACAGAATATTTAGGTGCCTGGAAAATAGCATCTGTTTGGCTTTAARAGCTTTGCCAAGTCCACTGCTTTCAGTGGACCGCATCCGTGAAGGAGCTGGAGTGCAGAGCATAACCAGGCTATATCCAGTCWCTTTCCTGTTGTAAAACCTCCACATCATACAGGGATGGATACAGAATCAGTTGTGGAATGGTTTTCTGTATCGGTAGTACTGGTGCAGCTCATGCTTCAGTTACTCAGAACGCAGCAAATACCAGAAGGATTTTTGTGCCAGTTCCAACATCAAGGGGCTTCTTAACTCTCTGTGGTGGCACTGGCTGGGGCACATGAGAATAATGGCATGTTTGCCACTTCATTTTTGTGGACCACATGGAAGAAAATGTTCTAAATAAGTATCAGAGGTTCTCTTCTACTAAATCCCATTGTTTTATGATGGTGAACACTTACTTTGCTTTAACGGATTGAATTCATTTGCTTACCAGAAGGCTGGATGATGTTAGTAATTTTGGATCACCTCCCTGTCCCAAGATCAGCTGGCAGAAATGAGARTTATTTCCTTGGATGACTGAGCTCTGTGCTCTAAGAGAATTTCCTTTTGTAGTCTATTGTTTTTAAATAACTGAGSGTTAGATCACATCAGTAGGTCACAGTAGTCACCATAATAGATTTAGGAAGGTGAAGCTTTCTGCTTTAGTCTGTGAAAATAAGCCAACAGACTTCTGGAAAATCATTGTGGAATTCAAAAAGTAGTAGAAATKTAATGGAACCAAATATCTAGATTATTTCCCTATCTTCAAAAATGCCTATTACATACTTGTTTTGTCAGTTACTTTCAGATATTTTAAAAACCCTGTCATATTGAAATACTTTGAAAGTAGTCCCAAGTAATGATCTGTTAATGTTTTCTTTAATTTTTCATACTGACTTCCTTGGGCACTTCMTTCTGCATTATCATTTATGAAAAACTTCATGTCAGACCAAGAGAGCTTATAGTCTTTAGTTTCTGCTTTTCACACAAAACTCAGTTTCTTTAAAAAGTCACTGCTGTTAATGTGTTGCATGGATCAATTATTTTTATTATCATATTATGACCTCTTTTTTCAAAATATTACTTCATCTGGCAAAACGTGCTAGAATTGGCATGTTTCAAGCATTATTTTCTCCTTTGCATTTTCTGCTAATGTTGAAAAGTGTGGGGTGTTTTATTCATGATTCTCCAGTCTTACTTAGGAAGCAATTTCTTTTCACATTTGTGTARTACACAGTATACATGAGACAGGAATTAAGGATACAAATCCCTGGCTGAACTGCTGGCCTTGGCATRAGTTGGAACAGACCCCAAGCTGGCTTTAACCTATGCCAGAAGATTGACAGTAGAATTCATTACTCCTCTCTAGCTTGCAGCAGCTGGCACAAAAGCAGCTCTGCCAGCTTTACAAAAGCAGGGAGCCAGCTTACAATAGCCATTCTTCACTGCACAACTGTAGTCAGGCACTGGTGACTTCGTGCTGTTCAAGGGAAATAGAATTTGGTCTGTAGTCTGTTTCTTAAACACACCACTCYTGTGTATTAATACTTGCTGCTGTTTTTTCCCAGAGTTGGATTTTGGTTTGTGGGGTTTTGTTAATTAAAGCTTTAGCTTTTCTGACTGAATACTTCCTTACATTTTTCTGCAGATCATTTCAGGTTTCCTAGTTTTTTACTGCATCCATTTCAGTGTAATTTTTCACATGCTCCTTCTTTATCTGGGCATCAGTCTCTGCTGACAAAAGCAATGCAGAGCAGCAGATGCCAGGTTACACAGCTTTTACTGTAAAAAACAGTCACTTTCCTTCCTAGCCACTTACATTCT